TTTGCGAGGTAATTTGGGGGAAAGTTTATGGCTAATTTCCTGAAGCTATTGACTCGATTTATTTCAACTCGTGCCTTTCTTAGGTATATTCGTCAAATTTAGAAGTCGTAAACTTCGAATCATCTCGGGAACGATGCGAGTGCATTATAATTTAATCTTTCTTTTCTTGTTCCTTTGTCTTCAAAAGGAGGGGAGTTATAATACTTGTCAGTCAGTTTATGTACGAAAGTTATTCGGGTGTTGTAATAGTGACAACTGGTGCCTCCCCTTTTATTACGCGACTCACTGGATTTGATCCAACATTGAAATTATCAAAACTATTACAAAGAAATTGATTCATATGTCACTCTCCATGCATTCTTCCCCTTCTGTCATGTCCGCATTCCAAAATTCAAAAAATATCGAATTCCTGCACTTCGTCAATCATTTTCTAGTATGTCAGTATCTAGTATATGATGAATCAATTGTATCAGGTTGCCAGAAAGGATTACTCACCTTGTAGAAACCATTTGGATCTAATTTTGTTAAATGAGTTCCTAGGATGATAAAAAAAGCATAACCATAACAATTTCTTTGGTGTTCCAAGTGACTTGGTTGACAGTTACCCCTGGGCGACTGATGGGGATGAAGAATGAGTTGTATAGGTCATGGTACGGATGTGAATTAAAAAGTTTCGATTGAGAAGGTGAAATATACTAATAAAAAAAATGTAGTTTCATATACAGAATCCTCGTGGTGGAAGATAATTTTCATTGATTCTCTCTACTGTAGTAGTTATGTTGAGCCGGCTTGGTTGGTGAGGGATCAAGGCGGCCGTGACACGCCTAGCAAGCGCGCGTTGCCGCCTCCGGCTGCCGCAGGCGTCTGTGCTACCACCACCGTCCCGACGCTACTTTACTAGCGTCGTTTATTTATCGTGTGACTGTTAGATAAAACGCGCCAGATTCTCGGTCCTCCACTGCACCACTTCCCGTCCATTCGTCGGCTGCATTTGAATTCAATCCATCCTCAAGACGAAACCTCGACGTTATGTCATCTTTTATTTTTTTGTGTTGTTGCTGACGCACATAAAAAAATATTAAGCGTTTACAGGAGTGCGTTTGTACGTTTGTGCGTATATGTATACTATATAATACAAAAGCAGTTACAGAAAAACGGCAAAGAAAGAGGATGAAAAAAGAAATTAAGAAACATTTTTCACAGGGTTAATGTTCCATGTCATACGGCCACTTTGGTAACGTATGTGAATTGAGAGAACTTTTATGGATGAGCTTTTCCTGTTACGTATTCTGGTTGCTACAACATTAAATGCTGTCGTACAAAGTAAAAGGACTAATGAAGAATTTCACTAATAAAAATGTAACAGTTATTTATTTCGTTCATTTCGTTTCATCTTTTAATTGCACACTATGTCTTTAGTACAAATATATAAAACAAAAAAAATAATTAATTCTACGTACCAAAAAAAAAGACAGAAAGAAATAAANTACGGCCACTTTGGTAACGTATGTGAATTGAGAGAACTTTTATGGATGAGCTTTTCCTGTTACGTATTCTGGTTGCTACAACATTAAATGCTGTCGTACAAAGTAAAAGGACTAATGAAACATTTCACTAATAAAAATGTAACAGTTAAGTGTAATTAATAATTAGAAAAGTAAAACGATTAAAAACGTCACATAAAACGTGTGTGCAAGATTCCTTTCTCGGGTTAAAAATGTTGAGACTGGAACAATAAAAGAATATCTAGAGGAAGGTAAAAGGAGTCAGGCAGTTGGTAGCGTAATATTTTTCACAAATTCGAAAAGTCATTTTTGTGGAACATGTGCGCATTTCGTCGTAATTCAACCGACCACAAAGCGTCACACCTGACGCCTGCTTTTACACAATTCACAGCGATAAAGCCATAAGCTTGATCTCAGGGTGTGACAACCTACATACGTGCCCATTATATAAATGGCTCATAACCAACTAGCATCTATAAAACAGGAACAACACATGAATAATGACGCAAGGACGACTCGATCGTGAAATAGCTCAACATCTCCAAATGTTTATCGCTCAACAGCCACTTCGACATTCTAAACTTTTATTAGATTAATTTTCAAAAGTGCAAAATCAATACTCTCAACTTATGTTACATGTACTGTACACACATATATAATGTGGATATTGGAAAGAATGCTTTACGAATATGAAGGTGGAATGACAGGGGTTTGGTGTTGTCCACGTAGGACATCGTATAACGCCTCAGCTGTTGCCGCATTATCTGTCGATAACAGTGGACCTGTTGTGCAAACAGACCACAAGCGCCGTCCCCAGGAAATTGGTGGACTTAATCGTCAGTCAAGATGTGACGACCCATTCTGTCTGTTTGCAAAAGTAATAGACTTGGACGCATTCCTTTATTACGATACGTTAAAAGACAGATCAGCAAACTTTGTTTACATACCATTACAGTTTTCTCTTAAAATTAACATTAACTGAACTCATTCCACAGTCCAAATACCCTGTGTGTTTTAGAATTTATATAGATAGATATACAGGGGCAAAAGGTTGGTATGCCTAGATTTGCAGTATTAGCATCTAGCAAGGAGGAATTAGAGAAAGCATTAAATCAAATGGAATCAAAAACAGTACTGCATGAAAATAAATAAAAGTAAAACAAAAGGAAATAGGCGAGATAGGTTGGTAGGACACCTTCTCAGGTATGAAGATCCAGCCAGAGACATAGTAGAAGCAGACACGGGAGTAAGAAGAGTTAGAGGTAGACCTAGATTATATTACTGTTCGTAAATAATTAAGGATATGGGATGTTCTAGTTCTAAGGAAATGCGAAGATTAGCTCAGGATAGGAAAGAGTGGAGGTGCGTGTCCAACCAGTTTTAGGACCTTATGATGATGATGATGATTAAATATTATAAGACAGATCAACAATTTCCGTTTTTATTCGACACTATTACAACTACCTGTTAAAGTTAACATGAGTGGAACACACTCCAATCAATACAAAATGCTCCAAATGTCTGCCTTTTTAGATTTTTCTGTCCATTGATGGAACACTCCGTATCGTTACTTGTACCAATAAACATATTTCATTCATGCTTTGAAGAGTTTGCGAGGTAATTTGGGGGAAAGTTTATGGCTAATTTCCTGAAGCTATTGACTCGATTTATTTCAACTCGTGCCTTTCTTAGGTATATTCGTCAAATTTAGAAGTCGTAAACTTCGAATCATCTCGGGAACGATGCGAGTGCATTATAATTTAATCTTTCTTTTCTTGTTCCTTTGTCTTCAAAAGGAGGGGAGTTATAATACTTGTCAGTCAGTTTATGTACGAAAGTTATTCGGGTGTTGTAATAGTGACAACTGGTGCCTCCCCTTTTATTACGCGACTCACTGGATTTGATCCAACATTGAAATTATCAAAACTATTACAAAGAAATTGATTCATATGTCACTCTCCATGCATTCTTCCCCTTCTGTCATGTCCGCATTCCAAAATTCAAAAAATATCGAATTCCTGCACTTCGTCAATCATTTTCTAGTATGTCAGTATCTAGTATATGATGAATCAATTGTATCAGGTTGCCAGAAAGGATTACTCACCTTGTAGAAACCATTTGGATCTAATTTTGTTAAATGAGTTCCTAGGATGATAAAAAAAGCATAACCATAACAATTTCTTTGGTGTTCCAAGTGACTTGGTTGACAGTTACCCCTGGGCGACTGATGGGGATGAAGAATGAGTTGTATAGGTCATGGTACGGATGTGAATTAAAAAGTTTCGATTGAGAAGGTGAAATATACTAATAAAAAAAATGTAGTTTCATATACAGAATCCTCGTGGTGGAAGATAATTTTCATTGATTCTCTCTACTGTAGTAGTTATGTTGAGCCGGCTTGGTTGGTGAGGGATCAAGGCGGCCGTGACACGCCTAGCAAGCGCGCGTTGCCGCCTCCGGCTGCCGCAGGCGTCTGTGCTACCACCACCGTCCCGACGCTACTTTACTAGCGTCGTTTATTTATCGTGTGACTGTTAGATAAAACGCGCCAGATTCTCGGTCCTCCACTGCACCACTTCCCGTCCATTCGTCGGCTGCATTTGAATTAAGTTGATCCTCAAGACGAAACCTCGTGTTGTAGGTACGCGTAACGCATCACTCAAACTTAACTTCCGCTCACCTATGAACTTCTTTTTAAGCGCGAATGTCGATTTGCCACGAATGATCACGAACGTAAAGTGAACAACAAACACGTGACTTGTGACATGATCAGTCTCCTGTATACGCATACGTCAACTTTTCGCGTGTGCTCAAACAAAATTGGCGTCCAATAGATTTGACACTTAATCAACTTGGCCAACACTGAGCGCTACTTTAAAAAAAAGTTTTGTTGGTCTAATATGGAAAGGGGCGAAATTTAACTATCCTTCTTTGTCTTTCTTCTCATTTTAATTCTTGGCATTTCCCATGTTCACTGAGATGGATTATTATATGAAATGTATGCAAATATCATGCTTCAGTTACATTAACGATGATAACTTTAAGGAAGGACATTAAACTGATGCATCTCGGAAGTATACTGTAGACTTTCGCTAACTGTAGGGTGCGATTAGGATTGTCAAGAAGCAATCCTTTCTTTCCTTCAGTTGTTCAAAAACAATCAGTTGCCTTGGCTCCTTCACCGATCCTCGTGGGCTACAGCCTGATCGGCGTGTGCCCTTGCACTGCGTGGAAAGCGAATCAATCTGCATCATCCAACGTTCACGTCTGCAATTGCAATTGTGCAGCAGCAGCATCGTCATCATCATCATCAACATCGTCATCATCTGCTCAAGGTCCTGTTCGTACAAGAGTGGCGGCCGCTAATCGCGTTCAGCCATATCCTTCGTCCTCGATCGCAGTGAAGAAGATTCAGTGTCAGTGTCAACATCAAAATCAGAATTTATCTCAGCCGGTGCACCACGTAGGTGCTGCTGGTCCTGCAACCACGGCTGGAATACAACTTCCTCAGCTCCTGGTGAGCACTTGCGGGTGCAGTAGAGATATTACGAGTGGAGGAACCGAGCAAGCAGCAGCAGTTCAAGTCAACGCAGCCCCCATGCTATTTGTTCCATTCTCTGTCCCTAATATTGCTGCTCCTATGACCGGTTCTTTGCAGAACTCCTGTAGTCCATCCAAGGTATCATGCATTTCTCATTTTTATGCGCTTCTGTTTGTTAATTGTTGAATATGCATGCAAATAACCAAAAGGGTTTTAGAAATTTGAGAGGGAGAATATCACGTTAAGCTAAAGGATTTTAAACTACTTATTTTTATTTTTAGTCGTTATATGTACCACTTCGTATGAATATTTATTAGTTCTTTTCGTCCACGGCTATAATGCAAATTAGAGGATTTCGTACTGAATTGTTAATAATTTTCTTTGTGATATTTTTTGAGATATGCGGATTCGAAAAAGTGTATGCGCATTTAGTGAATAACGCGCTGCGGCTATGTGGAATTTCAACATCAAATAGTAAACAAAGTAAATGAAAAAAGTTATTAGGTAGAGGTATGCGCTTTTAGCAGAATTGGATTATATCCGAATTGTAATAGGTAACCCCAAAGCACACATTATGTTTGCATGTGCATACTCTAACAGTCCATTGTTCCGTCTCTAACACTGATAAAAGCAGACATGATACAACTTGAAATTTAATAAAATCCTTGCTTTGTTGATTTAAAAATCCAAAATTTTTGCTATTACTTATAAGAAACCCCATTCAAGTTTAAGTTTTTAAACCGTCCACTGAGTTTCTGATGATAAACCACACACATAAGTATAAATTATTAGATAGTGAAATTCAAGCTTCAGTTTTCTACGTAGTTTTGGTAACAGTGTATTAATTATTTTTGTGTTGTATCTTCCCGCAAGGAGCAGTTGATATATGATGCTTTTATGAAATGTATAACACGAACGTAATCCAATAAATGTCAGACTGTGGTAGAGACATAATATACCTTTGTCAACGACGAATTACAAAGAATTATAAATTGGTAAAAAGCTCCTAGTATACTCTTCATATTAACGTTTGTCATTCCTTTTTCACTTTCGCGCGGTTTCAATTCCTCATTACAAAAATGAAATTTTGACATTCTTGGATAATCTCCCGATGCTTTAAATTTTGTTTGCAACTTTTGTATTCTGGGCCTTTGGTGTAACATATATATATANATATATATATGTATGTATGTTTGTATGGGTTGTATATGTCCACAAAGCTTTCTGTAAGGAAGTAAAATTGAATTCGTTCTAAAAATCCAACATCGGCTTTGAGAGAAATGGTTTCTTTAGAATGCGGTGTAATCCATTTTTTCTCATTTTCTTTTAACGCGTTGCAGAATGCTTGTGTTCCTTTAACACTCGAAACAATTCAGCTTGAGCCCTTTTACCAATTTTGCCTTAGCAACAAAGCAAGAAATAAACTGAAAGCGAAACAAAAAAATCGCTTGGTGACTGCATTTACATAAAGAACGCAAATTTTTACTTTTACTCCTTACACTTCTTGCGAATCTAAAGAAACAAAACGTGTTCAAACAACTAGGTATCATCATCAATAAGACATGTGGCAAACGGAAATTGACATTCTTGGCCTGATTGCCATTTTATAGTGTAAAAATTGAACAATAAAATTATTTTTTCGATTCACTTATTTAGTTATTTTTCGAATTTTGGTGCATGTCTCATTGCATGACTTATACACACATACTGCACAGCGCATTTAATTGTACATATTGAATGCGTTGAGCGTTATTTTTTTAATACGTAAAAAACATATGCCGTACATTATTTATTGTAAAAGGTTCCCATATTTATTACTTTATCGTTATAGTAATTCTCAATGAGCACCTTGAATTTTTGATAAACAAAATTTTACAACGAATTATTTTAGTGTCCCTTTGTTATTACTAGTTAATTAGACGCGCGATTACGTACGCGAATGTATGAGCTTAATATGATTGGAATAATATTTGTAACGAACAACGAAACAGTTAATTTCTACGTTATCAAACTTGCGTGGAAGTGCGAATGTGGCTAAACCAATAGCGTTTTAGTCGAAAAGTAGTTGTACCCAGTTCAAATTTGCTCAGAATTTTTAAATAATTTTATAATATACAGGCACTTTAATGTACGCAGGTGTATGCAACTATTTGTACATGCCATGTATGCAGCCAAGTATACTCTAAAGTAGGCATTTAGACCCGTCTCTTTTTTTTTAAATTGTTTTTGGCCATTTCAAATACCTATTTCAAATATTCTGAATGAAAGATTGAAGCAATTCATATGACATATTTGGTAAATATTGACGTGCCGCCATTGTTTATAAATAGGCACAATATGCGTTACTAAACGCCGAGTGCTGTCTTAATTGCATAATTATAAAACGCGGTTCTCTAAACCGTTGTGGTTAATGAGAAAGTTGTATAATTACACAGAGACTTTCTTCATTTTCACTAGTTTAATTTTTATTAAAATTTCCCGCCCCTTCATGTCCCGTTTCTGTGTTGTTGAGTCCTTTGTGGATTACCGCTGCGTAAATGTTAAAATAAAACGGAAACAAGTAACGTGAATGGATGAATATAAATTGATGCATTAGAGAGAGTGTTTTTTCTCACTAGCTTTTTGTTTTTTTTTTCTTTTGGGAAAATAAAACATGTGTTTGCATATTTCAGTGCGGCAGCCGGAACGTACGTTTGTTGCAGTATAATTAAGGGTAGAATTGAAACAGCGGAGTTGAGCGAAATTTTTCAGTGAAACTCGGCATTTCTTCAAAGAATTTAACTAATTAATTTCCTTTGATCGGTACGCCAGAGCGTCGGTCTGGCTCGGGAAGGAGACACGGGGACCTCTGAGTAAACTGTACAGTACAGAGTTACACTTGGGGAATATAAAAAGAATTGTGCACCCCTTTGACGGCACGACAGTTTATTTGAACTGCAGCCTGTATAAATTGTGCAGTCTTTGTTTCCAGACCGGATCAATGTGAAAAAGGATAATCGGGAAGTTGAAGCAGAAATATTATTTTTGAAGCTGGATCAAATCCAAAAAAATTTGTATCCATGCCCTACAGTATTTATCGACACTGTCGTATTTACAAGTAATTTATTCGATTTGTTTGTCAATTTTTAGTATTGACAGAAACGGAGTTGTTTATTGGAAAAAACGTGCATGCTTTTCAAATATAAAAAGCTAAGAGTCCCGAGGGATAAGTAGGTTCCTGTCTTAAACTATTATGACATTTTTACTGATTTAAAAATTATTATTTTCGTACAAAATCTCGTCGAGTGTAAGTTTTCATTCGGTTTTAATGTGACGAGGATGACGTTAGAAACAGTTGACTTGATTTATTGTCTTTCTACCGATGCATTTAGTATTTACAAGAGTAAAAATGTTGTTATTTATGCTCGAAAGGTTACTAAAGACGGATACTTTGGCCATCCGTCATTTTCGTTCAGCTAGGAATATCAGTTTAAAGAAACTTTGTCAGTGATTAATAGCGTCGCTAATCAGGCAGTTCACTAATTTTCATTAATCTGCGTTTGTTAAAGCTCTATTAATAATTGCACGACATTTTACAAACATCTAACTGCGACGTAACAAATTACTTCCCTTGTGTGTGCCATTTTAATGTCAGTTTAATCGCAATTTCACCATAAACAATAATGTTTTGTTTCTAATTCTCGAAAAAAGCTAAGAAAGAAACGGCTTACGGTGCAAAAATGATCGCTAGTTTCACTTGAAATCAATTTCCCGAACAGTCGTGGTAAAAGTGATAGCAGTCGACTTGATATATAAATTAATGGCAATCAATTTAAAGAATGACCATTGACCGGCAGTCGCAAGATCGGAGCGAGTGATGATGGTGATGTTAAGGAGTCTGCTTCAACCTGATAGGGATAAGAAATATTCGTTTATGAGCCGTTTTGATACCCTACATCATCCCCTGGTCAGATATCTTAAACCACTAGTCTGATTATTTTTCTTTTATAATGGGGTCGGCTTTTTTGAAATTTGAGTTCCTTTGTATCAAAATATCGAGGGCTGCTTGAGGCTTAATCTAGATTATGAGGTATTAGTCGATTTTTTTTTTTGATTTGAAGTGAGACTATAAATTGGATTAAACCGGTAGAGCGACGATTTTTCTCTATTATTTGACGGTTTATCCAACCTGGAATGAACGATGTTTCTTATATTATTCAACAAATATTGATTTTATAAATTTTGGTCTAGGTAATTAAAAAAAACAATTGACAAACTTATGCATTCCATAAGTACTCTTTGTTCACAATATTTGGAAATAGTAATTTTAGGATACTCAGTTGCTACTAACAAGGGTTTCGCTAATCAATGGGCTAGGGGAGAGGGCGAGATGGAAGATGAATTGTACGTTACGGTAACTAAGAAAATCAATATTTTTTTCATTTAAACTAGCATGAGATTACGTGAATTTTATGTTTTAATAATGCGATGAAGATTTGAATCGCTAGAGGAAGGGGGGGCAGTTGCCATTTTGTCCCCCTTGGCTACCAAGAGGTTAGCTTTCGAAGCTTTTTAAGATTACTCCTATTAGATATATTCACTCTCTCTCTCAGCAAGTAGGCGATTTTTGCTCAGCATTACGAAACCTCGGGAATTTAGAGCCACTTTAGGGAAAAGAACATTTTTATTTAATTTGTAATATAATTTAATATTTGTGTCGAATTAATTCTCCTTATTTAAAGGATATTTTCACTTTAAAATTTTCTTTAAATACTTGTGAATAATTAAGGAAGAAAAGGTCTGCCATTAATACACTAAAAAAAACTAGGGAATGAAAAGAAAATTATCTGGCAAAGGTGATTTTTGTAGGTTAGTTATTTGCCGCTGTAACTTCGTTCCAAAAATTGGAATTATTTGTATCTCGAATATCTACCAAATTGCCCGATTATCCAATTAGAGAAAAATTGCAGTAAAACCGCTACACTGACGATTTTTCTCTTGTGGTGTGATGGTTTTGTGAAATTTAAGTTCCTTTCTTTTGAAGTCGGAGGTGCTTGTAACACATTTGGTCGCTTAATTTTTTTAACGATATTAGTCGACTCTGTGCTGGAATGCTACCGGATTTTATCCAGTTAGGGGAAGAAGGGAAAAAATAGAGA